AAGGAGGCAGAGGATCCAACGGGGATGGATGGATGAATGGAGGAAGGAATAGCAGGTGGGAGGGACGGAGAGTGGAATAGTGGAGAGGAAGGAAGGAGGGAGGGAAGAAGAGGGGAGGAGGGAGGGAAGGAAGGAATAGAAGGGGGAGGAATAGCGGGAAGAAGGAAGGGGAAACATGTGAAAGGGAGGGAGGGAGGATTTAGAAACACAGGAATAACTTCTGATTTTTCCAGCCAATGCCTCCCCTTTCTCCTCCTCTTCCTCCTTTCCCTTTCAGTCTGCCCTCCTGGCTGGTTTGGGCAAGGATGCCAAGGCCAATGTAACTGTGGTAACGAAGGGGATTGCGACCCCCAAACGGGCAAGTGCCGCTGTGCCCCCGGATGGACCGGCTCCCACTGCCAAAGAGGTGAAAAGGGCGGGGCGGGGCGCTTCTTCACACCTCGAGGGTTGAAGAACCTTTTTACTCATTTGTTTTTCCTTCCTTCCTTCCTTCCTTCTCCTTCCCTTTCCCCCTTTTGTTTCCTTCTTTCTCTTTTCCTTCCTTCCTGACTCTCCTCTTTTCCTTTCCTTCTTTTTTATCCTCCTCCTTTCCTCTTTTCCTTACATCTCCTCCTCCCTTTTCCTTCCTTCCTTTCTCTTTTCTTTCTTTCTTTCTTTCTTTCTTTCTTTCTTTCTTTCTTTCTTTCTTTCTTTCTTTCTTTCTTTCTTTCCCTGGTCCTGTGCCTTTCCTGAACTCTCGTCTCTCCACCTGGGCAGATCCACTCTCCAGCTGGAGAGATCCATTCTGCACCTTGAGATCTATTCTGCCCCTGGAGAGATCCATTCTCCCCCTGGGCAGTTGATCCATTCAACTACCGGTGGTGGGAGGGTGGAGCGGGAGGATCTATTCTTCTCTCCGGATCTCCTCCCCGCCCAGCCGCGAAGGAAAAAGAAAGAAAGAAAGAAAGAAAGAAAGAAAGAGGAAAGAAGGGCGGGCGGGCGGGCGGGGCGCCGAGACAGGTGCGCTCCGGGGCCGCCTCCCCGCCGGGCGGGGTCCTCCGCGCAAACCTGCGCTGGGCTCGCCCTGCGCGCTTCCGGGCCTTGCGCGCTCCTTGCCCACCGGGGCCCCAAAGGGAGGCAGGTGAGCACCTTGGGCGCCTTTGGAGAGGGGCGCACGGTTGGGGAAGCGCCCTTGGAGAACGGGGTGGGAGGGTCTCCAGGTGTTGATTTGGGGGGGGGGCATTGGGGCATTCCCCCCCACTTCCTCCGCCCCTCCCCTCTCTCTTGCAGGAGGTTCCCAAGCGGGGCTTTAGGATGGAGAGTGTGGAGGGAGGGGGCAGAGGGTTGGACTAGACGACCTCTAAGGTCCCTTCCAACCCAATTCTGATGGATTTATCGATAACGCTATACTGTCGCTCCAACACTGGAGGTTTTCAAGAAGAGATTGGACAGCCTTTGTTCTGAAATGGTCTAAGGTCTCCTGCTTGAGCAGGGGGTTGGACTAGATGACCTCCGAGGTCTCTCCCAACCCTATTCTGATGGATTTGATACCTGTATATTGTTTGCTCCGACACTGGAGGTGTTTTCATAAGAGCCGGCGGCCAGTTGGTCTGAAAATGGTCTAGGGTTTCCTGTTTGAGCAGGGGGCTAGACTAGATGACCCCTAAGCTCCCTCCCAACCCTATTCGGATTGATGTATTGATAATGATGTACTGTCGCTCCAACCCTAGAGGTTTCCAAGAAGAGCTTGGACAGGCATTGGTCTGAAATGGTCTAAGGTCTCCTGCTAGATGACCTCTGAGGTCCCTTCCACCACGGTTATTCTGTTTATTCTCCAACTGCCCAAAAAGGAGGCAGGAAAACGGAAGCGGAAGGCAAGGTTTGCAAGCCTAAGGCAGCCAATCTTCAGGCTGGGGTGGGGTGGGGGCTGTTATTTCCTAACCCAGGTGAGCTTCTTCCCTGCCCCAACCTGTCCATCACGTCCCATGTCAAATCGGAGTCCCTCCAAAGCCTTAGAAGGAACGCAGGGTGCGGTCAACACAATGCAGGTTCCCTCTGCAGTGGTTGCGTGTGGTCCCTACCGCGCAATGGCTCAAGGCAAAATTGTCCCTTTGGTAGAAATGGTGGGATTATGGAACGATCAAGGGACAAATGTCAACTGCCTGCAAAAGAAAATCTATATTAAAACGTTTTTACGGACGGCGTTGTGCACCAGCAAGATTTGGCAAGGATGTTTTCAGGACGTGTCTGCGACGTGTTGGAAATGTAATCAGATACCGGCTTCGTACTACTATCCCATGTGGTGGACATGCCCAAAGGCAAAAAAAAAAAAAGAAATGTTGAACAAAAATACGCATAAGATCGAAAGCCAGAAATATTTTTGTGGGCTTATCTTACCAGAAAAGTGTAATAAAGGGAATACATGTTTAATTTTTATGCGTGTTGACTTGTAGCTAGAATTGTGTTTGCACAACAATGGGAAAATGAAGATACCCTTAAGGATGAAAATGTTATTTAAAAAAAAAATTACAATGTGCAGAAATGGATTAAATTCAAAATTAAGGAGATGGAAGAAAAACCCAAATACTTTTTAACGTGGGATTTGTTTTATCAATGGCTAACTAGCAGAAGCAGGAGTTAGAAACATAAAAGCATAAGGAAATGATTAACTACATTGAAGATTTACTAAAATAGATACGCAAATATTATTATGTTATTATTAATGTTATAAATATGTTATGAATATTATGCATACTATGCATAACATATAAATGTTATGAATATTATTACTATTTTTCAAAAATAGCTGTACTCGGACAAACACATGATATAGTTATGTTTAATAATAATAATTTTTTAAAAAAAGAACGGGGATGGAAGACCACCAGGAGATAACTTCGATCCAGAAGTTGAAAATTATCCTGGAAAAACAGAACATCAAACTAGGATTATATTGCTAGCAAGGAAACTAGCTCGATCTGCAGTTGGCAAGAATCCTTGTCTCTCCAGTTAGCGTCCAACTACCAGCCATACCTATAGAGCAGAAAAATGAATATTTTAAATTATTTTGCACGGAGATTGGACAACGAAGGGAGGCCTTAGAGAACTATTGCCTCACGATCAGAGGGCTGTGAGTTCAATTCTAGGTAGAGGCAGATATTGGGCACAATGAGAATATATTTACCGAACAAAAACTCCCCACTGGTGATAGGAAGAGCATCCGGCCAGTAAAACACTCGGCTCCATTCAGCTGAGCCGACTCCACCCCGCAAGGGATTATGGGATCGTTAAAAGAAGAAGAAGATGATGATGATTGGACAATGAAGGGTGGGGTGTCACTCTCTTCCCAAGTTGTTTAACTCAGCCTTTCTCCAATTTGGGCCCTTGAACACGGATGGACTTCAATTCCCAGGATTCTGATCGGCTGGGGGATTCTGGGAGTTGAAGTCCATCCACCTTTCCAAGTTGGAGAAGCCTTCTTTTTTTTTTTTTAACAGCTGGATTTCCACATCGGTGCAAAGTAACGTGCGACTTCTCCGCCGGGCTACCCGGGCAGGGCTTCAAAAGGAGAAGTTCAGAGAGGTGCCCGGGGTGTGTGTGCAGAATTGCACAACTCTTGTGTGCGAGCAGGGCTCGCCCCTGGATTGACTCTGTTGCAGCTGGGCCTCGCCCCAAAGCCAGCCGCCCCATTCCAAACAAGGCTTTGCCAATGCCGATTTCATCTCTTGTAAACAATGTTGGGTTGTTGCACACACACACACGCACACACACACACACGCAGGCAGACGCAGCCCTGCAGATCAGGAGTGAGATGGTGGTTTGTGCCTGGCTTAGCCTGAGCTTGTTTTAGTTAGTCAGTTCCTCCGGTCTGCTTGGGAGGGGGTGTTGTGTTTGAATGGCCCCCGATTTTCTCCCTGTTTAAATGGCTTTTTAATTTTTATTTTATTTTATTTGGGGGGGGGGGGGGGGGCTGCATCCTTGACCCCAGCTGTGGAATGACTGGGCACCCTTCAGACGTCACTTATTTTCTCCTGCCACTTTCCAGCCTCCCTGGGATGAAGAGAGCGAGGTGCTGAGTTTGAATGGTAAATATTCAACACCGTTGTGTTTTTCTCCCTCTGTTTCTCTTTCTTTCTCTCTCTCTCTCTCTGTCTCTTTATCTTTCAGTCTGTCTGTCCTTCTCTCTCTCTTTCTCTTTCTCTCTTCCTCCCTCCCTCTTTCTCTCTCTCTCTCTCTCTCCCCTACACACCAACACAGAGGGTGAAAAACCCTTCGCAGCCTTTTTCCAGCCCAAGGAAAAACTTTATCCCCTTTAAAATCCTTCGTTGTTGTTATTTTTAATTATTCAAATCTCTTCCCCCCCGGAGGCAGTTTTCGGCTGCTTAAACGCCTTCAGTTTGGGATGTCGCTGTTTTGTTTTAAGTTCTCAGTCGCTTTAAAGCTTCACCGTTTCACTGACCGGCTTATTCATCGTTGTTTTTATAAGCTCCAAAACTGGCTTGTGTAGACACACAAGTGGTCCTTGCTTTGCAACATTCATTCAGTGACGGTTCAAAGTTACAACGGTACTTTCAAAAGTGACTTAGGATGATTTTTTAATACTTATTCTGCAAAATGAGGGGCTGTGTGGGGGCGGAAACGAAAGAGAAAACAGCTTCTGTATCTGAGCTGGGTTTGCTTACTTGTAAGTGACCTTTGGAAAAGTGGCAGGACCGGTCGAACTCGCTTCTGGGACCATGTGGGTGTGCGCAAGCGTACACACTGGTGCCAAGAAAATTCAGCTGTGTTCCCCTGTCCCGTCTCCCAAGTCCAGCTTTCCAGATCCGGTCTGGGAATCTTGCCCCAAATTGTCCTTTTTCTCCAATATAGATATCTATATCTATCTATATAGTTTATCAATCTATATCTGTCTATTGTCTATTAAATCTATTATCTATCTATCTATCTATCTATCTATCTATCTATCTATCTACCTACCTACCTATCTATCTCTGTCTATTATCTATTATATCTATTATCCATCCATCCATCTATATCCTTCTATTATCTATTATTTATCTATATCTATTATCTATCCATCCATCCATCCATTTAATCTATCATGTATTATTTATCTATGTCTATCTACCGTATATATGTCTATCTTTTATTTATTCTATATCGATATCTGTCTCTCATCTATTATTTATGTCTATCATCTATCTGTATATGTCTCTATCATCGATCTATATCTGTCTATTATCCACTATTTATATATGTTATCTATCCATCCATCTATCTAATCCAGGGGTCTCCAAACTTGGCAACTTTAAGACTTGTGGACTTCAACTCCCATAATTCTGGGAGTTGAAGTCCACAAGTCTTAAAGTTGCCCAAGTTTGCAGACCATGATCTCATCTGTCATCTATCTATTATTTATCTATGTCTATCTATATATCTGCTATCTATTCTTGTCTATACAATCAATATCTATCATCTATTATTTATATCTGTCTATATCAATATAATCTATCAGTCTATATCTATCTGTTATCTATTATATCCATCCATCCATGTAATCTATATCTATTATATCTGTCTATTATGTTATTTATCTTTGTAATCTATCTATGTCTATTATCTATTATTTATCTCTATTCATCCATCGTGGTTATTGGCTAAGCTACGGTTTACCTCTCTACCAGTCCCACTTCATCGTGGTTATTGGCTAAACCATGGTTTACCTCTACCGGTCCCACTTCATCGTGGTTATTGGCTAAACCACAGTTGACCTCTCTTTTTTTTCCCCTCCTCCTAGGGCTCTCCTGGCTCAAAATGGCCCAAGAGCACTCAACCGGCCTTCTGGTGGACAGAGGTCTTCTCCTGGGACCTCCATCCCCCAGCAACAGCAGCATGTCTCCTGAGGAGAAATGCCCCTCCGTGACCCGCTTGGAGGATGGCGACCCCCTGGCCAAGCCCTCGACCCCGCTCGCCCCTCCACGCCGGATCATCCTGAGCACCGAGAGCCCGGCCGCCCTCAAGGTGGGCACCCAGCAACTCATCCCCAGGAGCTTAGCCGAAGACCCCAAGTCTAAGCTTCCCGCCCGCCCCCAGAGCTTCTCCGAAGGGGCGGCATGCGGCAGGGAGGGGCTCCGTGGCGACCCCAAGCGCTTGTCGGCGCCCAGCCTTGCCTTGGAGGACGAGCCTGAGGACGACGAGCTGGACGCCAGCGAAGGGAGCTTGAAACGCAACCTGCGCAGCATGTCCTACCGGGCGGCCATGAAGGGCGTGAGGAACGGCGGAGAACCTGAGGTGCCCCCGGCCGTGGGGGGTCTCAAGCCCATGTTGGGGGATGCCAAGGCCCCTGCTGGCCGGGCTCCTGCGAGGAACAAGGTAGGCTAAAAAGAGTGCCCCCCTCCTCACCCACTCCCCCAAAAATTGGGCACGTCCATCCACATCGGTTCCCCTCAAAGCCATTCCTGAGGGCATCTCCCAGGCTTCCTGCCCAACGAAAGAGCCCATTCAGGGACCGTTCCAAGTAGCTACTCAAAGGATGCTCCGTCGTGCTATTTGTCTGGGATGGTAGTAGGGTCTCCTGCCTGAGCAGGGGGTTGGACTAGAAGACCTCTGAGGTCTCTTCCCGGCCTAGGATGCTATGATTCTGAGATAGATCGATAAGATACGTGACAGATGGGGAGGTAGGGAGAAATGGATGGATGGATGGATGGATAGATGGATAGATAGATGGATGGATGGATGGATGGATGGATGGATGGATGGATAGATGAATGGATGGATGGATGGATGGATGGATGGATGGATGGATGGATGGATGGATGGATGGATGAATAGATGGATAGATGGATGGATAGATGGATGGATGGATAGATGAATAGATGGATAGATGGATGGATAGATAGATGGATGGATGGATGGATGAATAGATGGATAGATGGATGGATAGATGGATGGATAGATGGATGGATGGATAGATGGATAGATGAATGGATGGATAGATGAATGGATGGATAGATGGATGGGTGGACGGATGGATGGATAAACTTGCCTCCAGAAGTTTGGGTGCTCCGTCCCGGGAGGTTTTTAAGGAGAGACTGGACAGCCGTTTGTCTGGAATGATACAGGGCTTCCTGCCTGAGAAGGGGGTTGGACTAGAAGGCCTCCGAGGTCCCTTCCGACTCTGTTATTCTAGAATCCCAGATCAATTCACCAGTGGAACCCCTTGCCACCAGCAATCTTGGGTGCTCCAACCCTGGAGGCTTTTAAGAAGAAATTGGGCCACCATTTTATCTGAGATGGCCTTAGGAGTAACGAAACATCTCGGTTTTAATAAGCCTCGGTCCAGTTGTCATGATTTAGCCTGTTTAGACAGGCCTGTGTGTGTGTGTGTGTGTGAATCCGTGGGAAAACAAACCCCACTGATGGGGGGGACCTTTTCTTCCCCACAGCGAACGTTGGGGCGCAAGCGACTTCAGCATCACGGCGGTTCGTTCAAAGATGGTGAGTCCCGTGCCGATCTTGACCCTTCCTTTCTTCCTTCCATCCTTCCTCCCTCCCTCCCTTCCTTCCCTCCTTCCTTCTTTTCTCTCTCTACCCATTCTATTCTCAGCTATCCTTCCACTTCTCCTTTATGCCTTCCTCGCTCCCTCGCTCCCTTCCCTTAAAATTGATTTTATTCAGAGCCAGAGAGCGGTGAGGATGCGGACAGACGTAAAAGGGAGAAATTCCAGTGCAGGCAATCCTTGACTCAACAACCATTCCTTTAGGATCTCCTGCCCAAGCGGGGTGGGGGTTGGACTAGATGACCTCTGAGGTCCCTTCCAACTCTTATTCTGTGATTTAGACCGAGATTTTGCCCCTTGTGGTTGGTGGCTCGTGGTTGGTGCTCTGACCCTCCCGATATTCTTGTGCGTTGACCCACAAAACTGCTTGGGGCTGGATCTCCTTGATGCGTCTCTCTCTCTCTCTCTCGGCTCTCCTTCCGCCAGATCCCCGCTTGTACCAAGAGATCCGAGAAAAGGGCCTCAACTCCATCAACCACGAATCGGACGACGACTTGCTTGACCTGGATGCCATTCCCGAAGAACACCCGCCCTCCATCGTGGTGAAAAGCTACCGCCCCGCCCACGCCACCTGGAGCCAGCAGCCTGAGGTAGGGAACGCCGAGGGGAAGACACCGTCGGGCGAAGGGCTCTCTCCCGGTGTCTCCGTACTCTGTTGTGGGGAGGACGCTGCCTGGATCGAGGTCCATTGTGGTCATAAGTCAAGGACTCCCTGGAATTCCCTTTCTGGTCTCCCTGGCTTCTCTCCCTTCGATTCGACTCCAATGCAGGTCTCTGGTGCCCTTCTCCACATTCCAAATTCTCTAAATTCCAAATACTCTCAATTCTAAATACTCTCAATTCTAAATACTCTAAATTCTAAATTCACTAAATTCCAGATTGACTAAATTCTAAATTCTCTAAATTCTAAATTGACTAACTTCTC